TGCAAGAGTGRAAATAAACTGCCTTTCTGTAGGGAGTTGTCCTATAAATAGTGACTTGACCAAGCTGCAAAGATTGCTGGGGTGAGGTAGCTCTAGACCATATAAGATTCCCATAAGCATTTTCCTGTTTTAGAGTTTCATTTATAACCAAATTAAATGAATTTGGATGGGGTTTATAGGTATCTCTGAGACACAACTTATGCCACCTCTGCTACCCAGTGTCCTCAGGGTGAAATACTCAGGACACAGCAGAAATGCGGATCAGGGAAAGTTTTACCTCACCCAGTGCTGAATTCAGTAAAACTGCCTTTCTATGCAAGTGAAATGGTAATAGAGGTTTTGAGTGCTGTGCTATAGTTTTTCTTTTGCAACTTATAAAATTTTTGGTCTGCATGTTTAGCCAGCTGAGTGTTCYTTCTAGACTATTAGTTAAAACTGTATGTCATCCCTTCTCGCTGAGATTTGCAATCTCAGTTTGACCTGGTCATCTGAGTCAATGCACTGTTATTTGGGCATTCTTATTTTTCTCACTCCATCAGTGGTTTCCTTCATCTTTTTTGGGGGGGTTTGTGAGATGGGGTTGATGCTAATATAACATAGCTCTTTCTACTGCCTTGACATGTAGTATTGATCCTATTTTGGCATGTCAGTACAGTGAAATCCCTAAATTTACAAATGGATCTGATGCTGTCCATTCATGTTTCAAGCCAGTTGATCCTGAATAAAGTTGTCTTGGAGTTAGATTAGGCAACAAGGAATTCCTGATTCTGCCATTGATCCGCTATGCAGTATGAGTCTTGTGGCATGTCTCCAGTGCTTTGTTTGCTTTTCTCATCTATGAGAATGGAAGTCCTACAAGTGTGCTGAGGGTCACAGATTAAAGACATTTTATGAGCATTAAGACAGATTTTTCTGCTTTCATTCCACAATATCTCATCTTACAGTGTCAAATAGATTCATTAYTGCTTCAGTAATGTGCTGTGTAACAGGATGGATTCAAATATAACCAGATGACTAGAACATCATCTTACACCAACATGAATCTGCTGTACCTTGTGTGCAAACTATAATTCTGRGTAGCTGAAATATAGAATTGATTTGTTCTTTAAGCCAGCTGCAATTCAACAGATCATTAATGACGAATGGYAGAAAGCCCCAGCCATCCTTCCAGGCACTATTCCAGATGGAAGTCATTGGATAAAGCACAGAAAGGTTTGGCAGAATGCGAAAAAAGAATAAATTTGCTACACATCATTCATTTTGCCTGACTGCAATAAAGTAATTGTAACACAATGTTGTCACAGGATAACGGTCTCCTGCTGCTTTAGAAATGCTTTGCAAAACAGATGTTTACTTTCTCTGTGGGAGACATTGATCCCGTGACAACAATCTTTTCTATTAAAGGAAAATTAACTACTTACAGGTTCAGTAGTACTATAAAAAGGACTATTATAAAAAGCCATATAATGYAATAGGTGAAATTATATGAACTATATATGTGATATATGTGATATGTGCAACTAATTCCTAAGTGGGATTACTTCAAATACATTCTTTCAGCAGCTTTGCAACAAACCTTTTCTTAACAAAGGCAGATAGAACAATGCAACGCACTGTGATGAAGTTGTTTTTTGTTATTCTAATCTTCCAAGGCTGTGTGAGCTGCAGAAAAACAGCATTTGTGAGGAAAAATAATACCAAAACTCTGGCATATAATGTCTGATGAGAAATGCATAGTTAATAACAAATAAATTAAAATCATGAACAATTACCAATAAACTAACACACTGTAAATAATGGAAATTAAGGACCATGCATTTTCTGTCAGGACTGAATTTAGCATCATGAATTTTGCTTATTAGCACTAAGACAAAAATATAAAAATAGATAAAAAATGAGAAACATTTACGATTTTCAAAATATTTTCCTTAGAATCACAGAGTTACAGAATCATTTCAGTTGGAAAAGACCTCTAAGATCATTGAGTCCAACCTTTCACTGATCATCAACTTGTCAACTTGACCACAGCATTAAGCTACATCCTGCTTTATTTTGAACACTTCCAGGGATGGTAGTGACTCCATCACTTACCTGGGCAGCCCAATCCAATGTTTAACCATCCTTTTGTGAAAAAATTTCCTCGATGTCCAGCCTGGACCTTCCCTGGCACAACTCCATGGCTATGTCCTCTTGTCCTGTGACTTACCACCTTTGAGAAGAGGCCAATTCCCCCCTGGCTGCACCCTCCTTTAGTTGTTGTAGAGAGTGACAAGGTCCCCCCTGAGCCTCCTTTCCTCCAGGCCAAACACCCCCAGCTCCCTCAGCTGCTCCTCACAGCACTTGTGCTCCAGACCCTTCCCCAGCTCCGCTGCCCTTCTCTGGACACGCTCCAGCCCCTCAATGTCTTTCCAGCACTGAGGGGCCCAGAACTGAGCACAGGATTCGAGGTGTGGCCTCTCCAGTGCTTAGTACAGGGGGACAGTCACTGCCCTGGTCCTGCTGGCCACACCATGGCTGATCCAGGCCAGGATGCCATTGGCCTTCGTGGCCACCTGGGCACAGCTGGATCATGTTCAGCTGCTGTCTAATGACAGAGCAATCATGCATTAGAAATTGCAAAAGAAGAATTTAAATTATTCAATTTTTTTTTCTGACATTTCTGCAATATATGTGGGACACATACACAGAGCTCTGTTGTAGTATAATGGAAAAGTTGCATTAGCTCTGTTTTAGTGAACCTTATCCATTTTACAAACACTTCTGCTGCTCATCCAATAATGTGCCAAGTTTGGACTGATGAGACATGTTTTAAAGAAGAAATTTTGTTCTCCTTATGGGCTGTAAATGTCTATGTCTATGGGATCTCAAAGGCATTTGACTGCCAGATGAAGCAACCCCTTCAGTATTTAGTTTTTGCCAAGGTTGTGTCTGGATCAGGAGGAACAGAATGAGAATAATTAACCAGGGACTGAATAACTTGTTTTCTTACCAGACTCACCTCCAGGACCTGCATCATCTTGGATCTTCTGCTGTCCATTTCTATTTAGCTTGAGACAACTTACAATGATGTTTGGTAGTTTTCCACCTGGTTCCTCTATCCAGTTCCCTGTACTTCACATCATGAATCCCAGAGTTGCATTATGCAGRCTACTACTGTCTTTGTGACAGGATCAGGCAGGGATGAGGCTCGCTTTCACAAGCTTTAAAGGACGTATCTAATCAGACTAGGTGGTGAATAACAACACTAGGTCTGGGTTTACTTAAAGCTCTGGTCCAGCTGAAGCAAAGAATACTTGATGAACTGATTGGCATTTTTTGCTGAGTTGTGAGCTTCACTATCTAGATGTGGAAGGAAAATACCTTTATATTCTTGAAAAGGGTTGCTTTGGTATACAAGTATATTTGGTTATGATAGTCCTGACCTCAGAAATAGTCACTGAGGCAAAGAATTTTCCTTCCCACTTCGGGATCACTGTATTTATAAACATAAAAAGAATAGTGCCAAGAGRAGCATTGAGGAAAGCAATTTTTAAAGCTGCAAGGGTAACTCAGAAGAATTGTCCAATGCTACTGTAAGTTGCTTTGTGAAATACTACTTCCAGCTTCAAGAGGAAACTGAAGACCTAAAAAGTGTCATTTTTGTCATGTTTTCTTRGTGCTGAATAAAATGCAAATTGCCTCCAAGCAAGTTGCTTACCCTACAGCTGAAGTGCTGCACATGGAACCAGTTGACACTTTGGTATTTTAGCAGTTTAGAACTTATAAATATGTATTTGCATTTTTTCACACTAAACTATGTGGCTCTTACCCAGTTGTCACTGTCATCAGCCAGGAAACCAGTGGTAGTTTGCTTCACTGAGGACTGTATGAAATGGTCTATGAAAAGGAAATAAATTTAGTGGAAACTGAAACATAGGAAAAGCATTGACATCTTAACACAGATTACCCTGTGCTAGGGATGTTTAGCACCAAAGGGCATCTTCCAGACCCCTTAATTCCTGAGTCCCCTCAATGGTGAGAATTTGGCCTGAGGGCCAGCAAGGGCTTGTGCATTCAGGTCTCAAAGAATCTGTGAAAATACTGATTTCAGATACTGATRAATACTGTTAATCACGTGAGGATGAAACACAGAGGAAGACAACAGATCTGAAGGCTCATTTGTGAATTATTTGCATATGAAGTCATGCCTGATTCATGTCCTAGAATGCTRCTGAGGGCATCACCAGGACTACAAAAAGGAAGTCTGTACACTCCAAATGTGATATTTCATATGATAACAAAAGGTAATATGGAACACTCTGGCTTTACTATACTTCCTTTCGAGACACAGTCTTCAATCACCATATACATTTTTATTAAAAAAAAATACACACTTGGTGAGTTAGGTGAAACAGGGATGAAAACACTGAAAGCATTGTCCTGGCAAGGGTTGTCGTGCCCCAGTTAAAAGTAGCATGCTCAGCCACAGACCTGCGCCCCCTCTGAAAGCAGACACTGGCTTGGGCTGCCTGGGGCCATGCTCAAAAGCTCCTTCATACCTGTGGAAATCCCTTTAGCTYCTTCAGTGAGCTCTTGTTTAGGCTGCATTCAGACATTTGAAAGGATAAGGTTGTAAAACATGTCATAATACAGGGAAAAGGTAGAGTAAAAACTATCTTAAAATCACTGCCTTTTAAAATAAGTTTTGTTTGAACAAAGGGAAAGTAATGACAAGCTGTCTTTCTTGATGGTAGGACGAACCACTTCAGCTGAGATCACATTTCCTTGGAGCATTTTTGCTGAGAAAAACTGCATGGTTATCACTATAGGCATGAATCTCTCAAGGTGTCTTTAAACTGACAGCATGGCTAGGGAAAGTTGGGAAGGAGACACCTTGYGTGACATCCTGGATCGAAGCTCCTGGGTCCGCTAACACAGTCCTTTCTCCGCTTGCCAGGGCTGTCCGTAGCAGGGGAATGAATTTAGTTTCTTTTCTGATTTGTACACGACTTACAGTGTTAATGGGAGCAGTGCTTGCACAACGACGAGAACCTTTGCTTCTGAAAGCTGATGGTCGGCATCCTGTCTCCCCAGTTTTTGAAACGATTTATTTCCTAAGCTTCAGCTTCCCTAATGTCACTTCTAAAGTTCGCTGGCGGGGAGGGCTGGCAGGGAGCGCGGACCGGCTTCCCCGTTCGCTGGAGCTGCCAGGGAGCTGTCCAGCACCGCGGCAGGACCGGCAGAGGCGGCAGGGCCGGGGCGGCAGCGCCGGGAGGGCGCCGGGATCGTCCCCAGATCCCGCATGGGCACCGTCGCTCCCCGCGGAGGGTACGGGGCCAGCTCCCCGCTTCCCCTTAGCTCGGCTCCGAAGTGCAGGGCGCAGAGCGAGCGCCCTTGCCGCCCTCCCGGTAGCGGCGGCAGCGSGGGCTGAGCCCCGGCCCTGCCCTGGGCCCGCCCCTCCGGCCCCGCCGCGCCGTGAGGGCTTCACCCCGGAGCGGGGCAGCGGGGCCGCCGGCGGCCGCGGCGAGCGGGACCGGGCGCGACAGGCGGCGAGCGGGGCGGGGGAGGCGGGAGGAGGAGGAGGAGGGGGAAAGGGCTCCAAACAA